TGACTGAACCTTGAAGATGGCTCAGGAGTCTCAGCTAACTTTTCACAACAAAGATCATGTGGAGCTTTGCCAGCGCCATTAGATGTGCGGTGTTTAATGTTTGCATGGTGTGTGAATAAAAAAGTCTACCAGGAGCTTTATCTTTAGTCCGCTACTCGTCTAGCTCTGTATGTGTGTGTTTGCGTGTGTGCATGTGCAGTCTCACCACTGCTTTTAATTTCTCTATAAACTGGTAGAGGTGATTCACCAGACTTTTAGACAAATAAAAGAGGACGCCTTTGCTGCAAAAGACATTGCTGTTTTTAGTCAGGCTGCTGTAAGCTCATTTTCTTCAAATTGCTGATGTATCCTCACAAAACAGTCAAGTTCACGTCATGACTTAGGCTCTAAAAATGTGTTGCCTAACTGAATATAAAAAGAAGTTAAGTGCTGTGCTGACATTTCAGCCTTCCTGGCAGTGCGCGTGACTCACCACAGCTCCACTAGAGTCTTTACTGGAATCCAGCAGAGCCAATCCCTGTTCTGACCCAAGCTTTCAGTAAAATTAGCACCTTTGTGCACGTGTCTATATGTGTGTGTGTGTGTTTTCAGCTTCTCCTTGATGGCCTAGTCCCGGCGTGCAGCGTGCAGGTATGTTTATGCTGTCGCAGAATGGGCCTGCAGGATAAAGCAGCAGGTGGCTCCTGTGTCTCAGATGACGACAGTAGGGATCCGTTTGTTGATACTGGACAGCAGGAGGATCGGTCTGCACAATAATGGTCCCTCATCAATGCAGCAACTCAAACTCTCAAATCTCTACATTTAAGAGTCACGGTTGATCTCTGCCTTTTTAGCCAATGTATAGATTTTTGTTTTGTGGATAAAAACATTACAGCTCAGAGAGTGTAGGTTATTAATCTGTACTCATGTTTTTGGAATTAATTCAGCAGTTTATGATATTTCTGGAAAACCTAATCAGCTATATTTATTTATCTTGTCAAGTTGGGTCAATTTTATCTCTATCGCTTATGTAAAATCAACTATGCTTGAGAATGTATAAAGGCACAACAAGAAAGCAACAACTGGAAACGCAACAACTGGCAACTAGGGATGGGAATTGTTAAGAATTTAGCGATTCCAATTCCATTATCGACACTGCTTATCAATACGATTCCTCATTGATTCTCATTAAGTGAGAAATAAGATAAAACAAATGAATTTGTTTGCATTAACTCTTTATTATCGTCAGATAGGGCATATCCATGCACTAATAATTAGTTATGTGACCGACCCTTTGACCACAAATCTGGTCACAGCTCAGTGACATTCGTTTATCTTCGCCTCTGTCATTTTACTCTTCCCTGCCTCAGTGAGGTGTGCGAGAGTCAGCCTCTCAGCTAGCATGACTCTAGCAGTCATTGTCATCTAAATGTAATTTAAAGAGATGGAGAGAATTTATATAGTGAAAGGGGGTTAATATGGCGCTAACATCAACACAAACAGTCAGGATCTGGAGAAGTTCAACGTTACCTTCAGCATTTATAGCAGATGACACTGAGACGTTAGCTCTGCTCCTGCTTTTGCCTGTAGCCTACCAGCCTCACTTTGGCAAAGTAGCGTATCAAACACGTTACACTTCCGCAAATTAATTGCATGCTAGGTGGACGAAGGTTTCCGCACATTGGAAGTATTTCCCCCCCTCGACAAAAATTAAAGCTTTGCAAGTGTTGCATGTAGCCCTGGTATAATGTTTTCGTGTGAAATACAACCAAATTCTGGAGTGCTTTTGCTACAACGCCATGCTGGAAAGTTTGAACCAAAACTCACTTCTCGCGTACTAAGTCATCACGCATAGAAGCATGAGAGGAACCGATAAGCAGAATCGTCAAGGAGGCAGACAAACAGTTCTTAGGAATCGAATCACTGGAAACCGGTACAAAAAAAGAACTGATTATCGATTCTCATCTCTACTGTCAACGCATCATATTTTTGTAACTACATTTAGATCTGTTAGGATAATAATGTCCTCATGAGGAGACCCATAAATAACAACACTTCAAATGATCCTGATGATCCTATTTGAGGCACAGCTGTTTCACAGGTTAGGAGCAGCCAACAAACTCCATCTTCCTTGGTTTTCACGTCTTTAAGTTTAAGTGCTCTGTCTGGTGTATAAACATAAAGAAGTCCTGTCTGTTGAGAGCCTTATAAGTCAGCAACAAAATTTTGGAACAACTCCCGTGACTGACTGGAAACCAGAGGACAGAGAGCGGAAGAGGTATGATGTGGTCCGTCTTTTTCTTTTAGTGTGGAGGTGAACAGCCCATGAACAGAGAATTTGGGCATAGAGTTGGTTCAGGTGGGCAACAAAGTCAAGTTCAGCCTAAATCAGATCATCTTATACCAGCCCTCAGTCAGCCGACACCTCAGCTGATTGTCTCTACTTATCCAGTTAAATGTCAAAATGGGTGCTCTTTAAACTGCTCTACCTGCTGCAACCGCTCTGCAATCTGCCACCACCCCAGCTCCTCCTTTTTCTGCTGTGTCTGATTTTCTCATATGTATTGTCTCTGATGACTGCTCTGTTCTGTCTGTCTGGGATTTTTGCTCATGCTGCTCTCCATGCCAAAGCTTTTTATGTATGCACGGGAAAGGTAGAGGAGGTGCTCTCTGCTCTTCTTCCAGCTTTGGTATTCCACATACGTATACAGAAGGACAGGGAGATCTCAGAACAGAGCCATACCACCAAATGTAAGTACTGTGTAAATAAATACATCTGGGCCAAGGTGGTCCTGACTGAATTACAATAATCAATACAAGAAGTTTTAAAAGAATTTCCAAATCAGAGATAGGACGTAAGTGGAAAGAAATCTGTCAAATTTAAAGACACTTTCAAAGTGAAAACACCACAACTCTTCACAGAAGAACAGATACTGGGGGCTAGAGGGCCAAGAGTGCTCAAGTCAGGGCAATCAGAGAGTCCAAACACATGACCTCAAGCACAAATACAAACTATTTACTGGTTTAAAATGCAAAAGAGCAGCAGTTCAGGAGTGGGAAAAGATTTTTAAAGCACTAAAAATTACAGACAAGAGTTTTAGTCAAGATCAGAACCGCATCTTGTACATAGCAGTCGAAAGATGGACTCCCAGTCCTGGTAGCATTTCATAACCACATGACCTGTCTTTCTCTTTAGTCCAAACTGACTACTTTGTACAATGTATTTTATGATCTTGACTTTTAGATTTATTATCCAAATAAATACTGCTCTGCTACACAGTGTTGTTAGAGGTGGCAGACGGCTTCAAGGGGCCGAGACATCAAACAGACTCCCTTCTCGCCGTCTCACCCTTACAGCTGCTGATATTCAGTACAGCCACACTGTCATCAAGGTTTTTTCAGCATATTTTATAACAATAAATATTGAGTACAAAGTGATAAAGTAGTGGTGATCACCTGTAAAGTTTAGACAACAGCTGCTTTCAAGGGATGAAACAAGACAAGAGCTAAATGTATGTTTTCATAATAAGTTGTAGAGAGACGTCAGAGTCTTAATATTGATTTAAAATTTTGATTTGGTTAAAACTACACTTTGAAAGGATCAGTCTGACAATTAACACCATATTTATTCAAATGATTGGTCAATGATGAACTTTGATCAGATTGAACACTGTCTAAAATTTTTATTGTTTGTCCGTTAGAAGTGTTTTACAGCATCTAACTGTAAAATTCAATCAGGGGGGATGCACTGATCATCAAGTACTGAATATATAAATCTTTTTTTCTGAACCAGCACTGTTATTTAGCCGAAAACCCAGAACCTTAACATGGAGCTCTTGGTGAGAACAAACCCACAGCAACACTTACTTTGCACTATCAAAGTCAGAAATCAGCTTCAGATCTGCTGTTGTTGGTACAAAAAAAACATCTGCCTGGTAAACTTCCCCACCAGGTGTGATCTACCAGCTCTCTCTGTAAACTTTTTCTCCATCTTTGAGCACAAAAATGGAGCTAAACTGTGATAACGGTCAAATCTATAAAAAAACAAATTCAGAGGATGCTCTGAACTCAATCTAAGAGGCAAAACCTCTACAGTGTCCCTACAAGGAGATTTAAGCTGCTTACAAAATGGACTGAAATGAGCAAGGATTCGTAGATTGGTTTGAAAATGCAATGACACCTCTTTGGTAAAGAGCATCTATCAATAATACTCTTAGACAGATAGAAGGTGGTCTAAGAAGAAACTGTAAACTGATCAAGGCTGAACTCAAATGTCTAAATGATCCTGCAGATTTGTGTCCATTCAAGCTAAACCTGTTGTGGTGATTGATTCGACTCTCTCTCTAAAATCACAGTTTTATTCTGCAAGATTCATATCTGACAGAAGTTAACACTGAAACAGAATTTTAACTTCATTGAAATTTCTGCCAACTTGAATTTGTTTGAAATTTTAAAAAAAAAGTGTGTCTTTGTGTAAGTAATCTGACGCTGAGAAGGACAGAGTCCATGTCCCCTCACAGAAAAACTCACTCCAATTCAGGTGGGTTTCATCCCTTAAACTAAAGTTTATCAGGCCAATCAAGACTTTTCATTCACAAAGTTTTTCATTCACAACTTCTGGAGAACCAAATGATATCATTTTGAGAGATGTGTTCACCTGTTTATATTTTTGTTTTTAACCCTTAACCTTTTCATCTCAATTTCATTAAAAGTTTTAAAAGCATTTGAAGTAAACCCCTGATTTCTCTGAAAATGTTTTCATCCAAACTTATCCTCTTTAAAATCACGGTCTAAAATCTGAAACACCTATATAAAGCACAAGTTTCACCTTCAAAAGAACAGAAACAGCTGAAAGTTGCTTCTTTAACTTGTCTGAGATCATCTTTAGGTTTCAGTCTTTCACCAGATCTAAAAATCAGACTCACTGAACCAATGAAGTGCAATGCAACATGTTTATTTTTTTAACTGTCACATGAACATTAATTTACATTGAGTGACAGAAATATTCAGACTGAGAATTCTCAGTCTTCGGGAAGCTTGCAGCAGCAGCAGCACATCCTCCTGAACCACTTCAGGATCCTCTTCATTCTAGATGTTTTGACTTGGACCTGCACAGCCTCGTTTGGGGTCTGGAGATCTGGCTCTGTGGTGGACTGCTCATGCACAATCTCATCCTCCGAGACCGCAGCTGTGATGGACGCTTCTGTGGGCGGGATCACAGGATGTGATGGAGTTGGCACCGTCAGGGTCTGGGTTGTTGGGTCATCCTCTGTGACTGGCTCCTCGATTTTGTCCACATCCTCCAGGTCGAAAACCAGGACTGGAGGCTCATCTTTGGTTTCTGGCTCCTCAATTTTATCCACACCCTCCAGGTCTGAAACCAGGACTGGAGGTTCAGCTGGCAGGGCGACAGAGGGGAGATGAGCCTCGACAGACTCAGAGGATGGTGAGGGCTCAGGTGAAATAGCCTGGCTGGTGATGGATGGCTCATCAGGACAGACTGCAGGAGACGGTGGAGAATCATCCTTGGCAGGTTCTGCTTCCTGGCCTGGCTCTTGGTCACTGACTGTATCCTCAGTTTCAGGTTCAAACAGCGTTGGAGGCTTTCCCAAAGCAGGTTCTGGATCTTTGGTGGACTCCTCCTCCACATCCTTGCCCTCCAGGACTGAAACTGGGGCTGTAGCTACAGCTGGCAGGGCCTCATGGGAATATGGAGTTTGCTCCACAGAGTCCAGTTCACTGTTTGGTTCTTCATTTTTGCTGTCTGGCTGAACTGAGTCTGTGACTGGAGGTGCAGCACTCAGGGTTTCAGCAGAAGATGGCATTGGTGTGGCCTGGCTGATGTTTGCCGGCTCCTGATCAGCTGTTTGACTCTGATGCTCAAACAGCTGACAGACGGACTCTGCTGAAACACTTCTGATGATGTCGAGCACCTCCACTTCAAAACAGTTGACCTTCCTCCTCAGATGGTCTGGAGGGAACATCTGCCTCACCTTTGCTTCGATGGCCTGGACCATGTTGTCTCTGATGGACTGAGAGAAGGTGGCCTTGTGAAGAGGTGATAAGGAATCAGAAACACGATCAAGGACGGCTTTCGTGACTCCAACAGCCATCTCACTCAGCTGCTCTGAGGGCATTTCCCAAGCAATGATCCTGTTCGGTTTCCAGAGGACCTGAAGGACTTTAGGAACCAGTTCGATGACCACCTCTCGAGGACTCAAACTCTGACAGACTGGACCTATTTGCAGCTGCTCCACCAGGATCTTTGCGTACTCCTGGGCTTTGTTGCGGATCTTGGGATGCTGGTAAGAGGGAGGTATTGAGTCCGGGGAGTCGAGCAGTTTTCTGGCTTCAAACTCCACATCTCTTTTTAGCAGGCTGGTGTTGACCTCCCACACCAGCTCCAACAGAGGCTGGACATCCTTATCGAATCCCTGCAGCTTAAACTCCCACAGCTGCACTCGGAGTGTCTTCTTGCTTTCCTCCACCATCAGGTTAGCCATATTTTCAGCTGTCAGCTCAGCGGGTAGCTGGTTGTTCTGCTGCAGTTGAAGGACTTCAACCATGAGAGCCACCTTGGCTTTGTACGATGGAGGATTCCAGCAGAACTGCTTTGCTTCTTTATAAATTGGGGTTTCAAACATCACCCTTATTGGCCTGTATATGCCTCTACTGCCTTCGATAAATGCCATGACTAGTAAGATTCTTGACGTACAAGAGAGAGATCAATCAGATGCGCACTGGTCAACAGTATCTGTCGTCTGAAGCTACAGACTGCCTGATATGTTTTGAAATACCCAAGGACGGAACACTGTGACCTGTCAGAAGGTTCTAGAACACAGAGGGTTAGTTTTGGTATCGCCATAGCAACACAAAACAGAGCCACACCCAGTGAAGTACATGGACCAATCAGGGGCTGCCTTTCCCTGTTGTCCGGGTAACAGTGAAAACACGGTCTCTGATTGGCCCGGTTATTTTCTGATGGGACATACACACTCTCTTTTGGCTTAAGTCCAGACTGTTGTGGGAAGGAACGTCAAGTGACTGGCGCAACAGGATGGCCCAGCCAGGCTACATCTCTCTAACACATCCTCCATTGAGTCCAACTTGATTCCAACCCCAGAGCCAGCGTTTTTCACCAGTTTGTCCAGACATCTTGCATCCTTGTGTATTACACTACCACCCCAGCAGACTGTAGCATAAAACAAAACACTGTAGACACCACAGACGGAGCAAAATAATACTACAGGCCAAATCAAAAACCCACTGAAGTTTTGTGACCCACTCTGTCTTAAAAAGTGCAGAATCGCAAAGTAAAGTGAAGTATAAAGGGCCTTTTCTGCATTTTCTATCTCCAAACTGAAGTTAAGAGGTTTAATAAAGCTGGTTAATTTGGCTTTTAAGGACAAAATTATTACTTGAATCAATGGGATTCAAGTCAGGGCTTTGTGCAGACCAGTTAATAACATTCACTTTGGTCATCTGGAGGTAATTCTTCACCAGGAGCTGATGATCATTTAAGCATCCATGTTTTTCAGGGCTAAATTACTCAGACTGATCAACAACATCCTTTACATGTGTCAGTGTTTGCCCAACATAAAAACAAGAGTCTTATCAACTGCTTTTCATCAGAAAGTAACAATTTATCTCACATTGTTACCCTACTTCTGTTATGTGAGTAAAAGATGTTTTAATTGCATATGATCTAAGAATACGCAGTTATTTTTCTTTTCATCATTGTTGTTGTTCTTGTTTTCATATTTGCTGAAAAAAAGGGGGCCTTAGTGTTACTAAATGTTATCTTTGGCTGTAAGAAGTTGTGGTTTTGCTCATTTTCTACCAATAAAAACATGGTCAATATAGTATCCATACTAAGGCTGCACGATATTGGAAAAAATTAATATTGCGATTTTTTTCAACCCTGCGATATATATTGCGATATTAAAATATAGAGGAATTTTCACCAGATGACCTGAATAGCACTTAATGTTATGCTGCACTGCTGAAATCGTGAGGACAGTTAACCTGCACTGATCTTACCTCTTTTTGTGAATGTTAGTAGAATGGCTTCTGTCTGTCTCGGGGATATTTTTAGCTTTTATTGTTCTGGGACGTTATTGTGGAAACAGGTGAACACATAACACGTGTTTTGGTCGACATTATCCATCTTGTAACCGAAATAATTCCAGATAACTGACTTTCCTTTTCTTTTTGGCAACAAGTCTTCATCTCCTGTGGTTTTTAGGGCCCGAGCGTAGCTGCTAAGCAGCTGCGAGAGCCCTCTTGTTCCTGTAGTTTCCTTCTTTTGTTATTATTATTATTTTTCCTCCCCTTTGAACTGGAAAATGGCCCACTTCCCACTGGCGAAAACTCATGAAATTTGGCAGGACGACCGGGCCTGGTGAAAAATTTGATATTCCGAAGTCGCCCAAACAAGAAAATGCAAAATGGCTCCATAGCGCCCCCTAAGGTGAAAATTCACACTATTCACTGTCACGCCTGTACGCTTTGTCAAAATGACACAAAAATTGACACACACATGTATCTCAATAAGATCTACAAAAAAGTCAGTGCGGGCGTATCTGTCAAAATTACGGTTAAAGGGTTATTTCGCATTTTTTGCCGATCCGCACACATTGGAATTTCGCTAACTCCTCCGAAGGCTTTCATTCCACCGGCACCACATTTGCTCAGGCCAATCTACACCCCATGGCCATTAAAAGTTATTCAAATCATGACGCTGCACCCCACAGTTTAGGTTCTAGGGGGCGCCAAAGATAACCCTAAAATCCACATATTTAAAAGTCTTATAACTTTTTATTTTTGCCCTCACTGGCCTCCAAGTTTTCTAGGATGATGCAATGTCCAGCCATCAACACATTTGTGAAGGAATTTTTACTCCCCAAAAGAGCGCCCCCCCATGGCAGGAGAAAAAAGTCCATTTTTTCTTGTCCCCTAAGGTGAAAATTCACACTATTCACTGTCACGCCTGTACGCTTTGTCAAAATGACACAAAAATTGACACACACATGTATCTCAATAAGATCTACAAAAAAGTCAGTGCGGGCGTATCTGTCAAAATTACGGTTAAAGGGTTATTTCGCATTTTTTGCCGATCCGCACACATTGGAATTTCGCTAACTCCTCCGAAGGCTTTCATTCCACCGGCACCACATTTGCTCAGGCCAATCTACACCCCATGGCCATTAAAAGTTATTCAAATCATGACGCTGCACCCCACAGTTTACGTTCTAGGGGGCGCCAAAGATAACCCTAAAATCCACATATTTAAAAGTCTTATAACTTTTTATTTTTGCCCTCACTGGCCTCCAAGTTTTCTAGGATGATGCAATGTCCAGCCATCAACACATTTGTGAAGGAATTTTTACTCCCCAAAAGAGCGCCCCCCCATGGCAGGAGAAAAAAGTCCATTTTTTCTTGTCCCCTAAGGTGAAAATTCACACTATTGACTGTCACGCCTGTACGCTTTGTCAAAATGACACAAAAATTGACACACACATGTATCTCAATAAGATCTACAAAAAAGTCCATGCGCGCTTATCTGTCTAATGTACGGTTAAAGGGTTATTTCGCATTTTTTGCCGATCCGCACACATTGGAATTTCGCTAACTCCTCCGAAGGCTTTCGTTCCACCGGCACCACATTTGCTCAGGCCAATCTACACCCCATGGCCATTAAAAGTTATTCAAATAGTGACGCTGCACCCCACGGTTTACGTTCTAGGGGGCGCCAAAGATAACCCAAAAATCCACATTTTTAAAAGTCTTATAACTTTTTATTTTTGTCCTCACTGGCCTCCAAGTTTTCTAGGATGATGCAATGTCCAGCCATCAACACATTTGTGAAGGAATTTTTACTCCCTAAAAGAGCGCCCCCCCATGGCAGGAGAAAAAAGTCCATTTTTTCTTGTCCCCTAAGGTGAAAATACACATTGTTGACTGTCACGCCTGTACGCTTTGGCAAAATGACACAAAAATTGACAATCATGTGTATCTCAATTAGATCTACGAAAAAGTCAAAGAGCGCGTATCTGTATAATGTACGGTAAAAGGGCTATTTTGCATTTTTTGCCGATTCGCACACATTGGAATTTCGCTAACTCCTCCTAAGGCTTTCGTCCCACTGACACCAAATTTGCTCAGGCCAATCTACACTCCATGGCCATTCAAAGTTGTAAAAATCATGACGCTGCACCCCACGGTTTACGTTTTAGGGGGCGCCAAAGATGACCCAAATATACATTACAGTAGACAAAGTAGTTTTGCCCACTGAGTGGCGCCAAAGGGACTTGTCTGTGGAGTCTGTGAGTCACTATTGGCCGTTTTTGACTACTTTAGATTTTACCTTTATATTTCCTCTTACAAAATTTTTACCTTGCCTTGCCTGGTATCATCTTTTTCAGCACAACCTCACCTGTGTCAATTTACAGTTATTTTATCATTTTGACATACTATATTTACACATTGGACCCAAAGTCACACACAAAACATAAAATCCGAGTGGAAAAAAGTAACGTTTTTACTGTGAAAACCACAAATATGTGTGATGAACTGTTTTTAAAACTTAAACTTCAAATAAAAATTGTAAACTTCAAAACATATGCAAATTTTTAACAAAGAACATAGTAATTTACCTCTATTGACATCAAAATGCAGGCAATGGCCCAGGTGTTCTTTGTAAAATTATTTACAAAACACTGTATAGTCTCACAAATGTCACTTTTTATTTATGCCACTACAAAAAAACATGATGTAAATGATGCATGATGTAAAACATGATGTAAAAAACTTGTGTAGATCCTCCTCTATGTTAGTCCATGTGTAATTTTTCCATAATTCTTTGTTTTTTGCAGCATTTTTGTTAGTGTAACTGCAGATTGTGCTGACAGTGTCTATGGCAAAAAAAAAAAAAAAAAACTGAAAATGCCTCAACATGAACCCCTGGTGGTCTCTGAGGGTGAAACCTGCTAACTGCTGCAGCTCTGTCAGCTTCAGTCTCCCATGCAGAGCTCGGAGCGCATGTGTGGCTCTGCACCCTTAGCAGCGTTGCTAACTCCTCAGTAAGGAAAGCCTGCTTCATGTCAGAGTCTCTAAACTCCAGAAGAAGTCGATAAAAGTCACTTTCTTTCTAAAAAAAAGTCGTTAGGGGGTCTGAAAAGTCATTGAATCTAACAACAAAGTTGCTAGGTTTGCAACTACGTGTCCCAGACTGCATCCCTGCTGAGAGTCCCTCCCTCCCTTCTCATATTGCAGGAAGAACGTAAGTTCCCGCCCCTTGTCAATCAGTCACCATATAATTTTGGATTGGTTGTTGTGGTGAAGTTTTCCACCAATAGGAGAGATGTTGTGGTGTGTTTTTTTTTTCTTTTGGCAAGCCTTTTCCGCCTGTAAGACCTGTCGCTAATGTCTGCATGCTATGTTTTCCTGTCTCATACAGCGCGATCGAGCGCCGAACGTGATCAAAATAAGCAGAAAACAAGTATCGCGGACATAATTTATCATAACTCTGGTTTTATTTGGCCTATCAACACAATTTAAAAACTGGTATATAGGTTGAGGTCCTCACTTTTGAGATAAATTGAAACGGAGAGTCAACGAGGCTCCGTCTTGCAGCTACATCCGG